TTGTAGGATCATTTGAATCAACCCGAAACGTCCTCTTTTCTGTTGTAGAGGCCTAGCTCCTTTGTAGGTAGTCCCTTGTTGTTTTGAAAAGTCAAATCTCTACATTTGAAACTGTTGAATAGCCGACTCAGTTATATCCAACTTTGTAGATGATAGTTGTTTATCCAAGCTACCATAGTTCTCAGCTCCTTGTATTTGTCTGTCCATTTCTATTGGCTTTAATGATGTAAGTGAATTACTTACAATCCTTTTTGGTTCCTCAGAGATCTCATCCGTACGCATATAAAGTAGAATAAAGTCTTCTTTACCTTTAGTTAGTCCCGCTTCTGTTATTTTTTGGTCTCTAGAAAGCTCAGATAAGGTCTGGGAGTCAATTTGTTGATTCAAGGCAGAATTTCTGTTTTTTATTTCCATAGTAAATTCTTTTATTTGCAAACGTATTTCATCAGTAGTTTTGTAAAGTTTTTCCAGTATAAGTTTATAGTCAAGTTGAACCAAGGGTTGCTCCATTTCAAAAATGATTAGAAACAGTCTGTATCATTTAGTAGAGGCTATGTAGAAAATATTTAATCAATGTCCACCCCACCAGTACAGCTGTTAATTTTCTTTGTATTTTTTGTATTTTCTTTGTATTTTTCCTTTTGTGGTAATCTGAAAGTCAAGGTCAATCTGAGTCATCAGAAAAGGGGGAAAGCTGCAATTTTAGCTTTTTCTACAAGGTGTCCTCAGCACAATGTAAAATCCTCTCCCACAGACCAAAAATCTCACAAACAAGGAGGAAAAAAAGCAACTCAAATCCATCAGCAGATTCAATATTAAAAAGTTTTCCAAGACCCCAAAGTGAAAAATAAAAATAAAAATAAAAGTTAAAAAAAGTCACTTTAAATTAATTCAATCCATAAGCTTCTTTTTCCCACACTCACCAACGCCGCCTTCTCAGAGCAGGGAAATAATTTCAAAAGTGCTTTTTACAGGCACAAAAAAGAAAGGAAAAATCAAGAGAAGGAAGGTAAAAAGTCTCAACCTAATTCATGCTAATACCAGCCAAACTCACCATATAGTGAAAATGCATCCTGCATATTTTTAACAGACCTGCTTAGTTAAATGGCTTCTGAGATAGAGCCTAAAACATTCTGAAAACTGGTAGTAACTGAGGATGGGATGAGGGATTTACAGAAAGCCATAGTTATGTATGCCCTAAGACAGCGGTTCTCAACCTATGGGTCACGACCCCATTTGGGGTCGATCGACCATTTCACAGGGGTCGCCAAGCAAGGCTGTCCGCCATTTTTTTTTCCTTTTCCGGCGGGTGCCTTACCTCCCTTGGGCTGGGCCAGCTGGTGGTCGGCCTGCTCCGTCTCTGCCGCTTGCCAGCTATGCCTCGGCCAGCGCAGGGGGCAGAACCACGCATGCACGGTGCTCCCGGGCAGGGAAAGTCCTCAACTTACGACCGGTTGGGTAGTTCTCGACTTATGACCGGTTTAGTCCTCAACTTATGACCAGTTTAGTCCTCGACTTACGACCGGTTTAGTCCTCGACTTACTACCGGTTGGGGGTCGCGGCATTAAAAAGGTTGAGAACCACTGCCCTAAGACTACATAACATGCTTCTATCTTCTATAAATTTTATCTCCCTCTCCTTCTTTCTTATAGGGCCATTGTCTTCGATGGACGAACTATAGGAAGGGCTCACGTAGCCAGCATGTGCCAGCCATATTGGTCTGTAGGAATTGTTCAGGTTAGTAGAAAGGATACCTGTTATCTATTTGTACTCAAGTGAAAACTTACATACAGGCATAACGTCTTTACAAATGAAGTCTCTTCTTAGTTTTGATCCACATCATTTTCATCCATATTTATTTATGGATTTGACATCTCCAGGTCCTGAAGTTGCCTGTAAGTTTTAGTAACTGAATAAATACAGACAGCAAATGGATGCATAAAGTTTGATCTTCTCCTGTGCTGTGGCTTCTGGGCTTTAAAGTTTCCTTCTGAATGTATTTGTGTATGTTCTGGAGTCTTGGTGGGCCCACATACATTCAGAAGAGCTAGAGGAATCCTAAGATGGTATCCTCCACTTAAAATTGGTCACTTAGTCACCAGTTTTAGCTACTTAGTGCTAATAATAATTGGATTCACTTTCAGTTTCTTGGCAGACTAACAATAAACAAAGTATTCTCTTATCTTCAGGATCATAGCTCAAACGTTTTTATGGTTGCAGTTACAATGGCCCATGAAATGGGTCATAATCTGGGCATGGAACATGATGAAGACAAAAATGGAAAGAAGTGTAATTGTAACACATGCATTATGTTTCACATGCTAAGGTAAGGATTGAGGAAAACTTTTAATGCCTTTGAAATCAACTTATTTTTAAATGGTTGCAATTAATTGTTAAATTAAATATATTGGGAATATACAAAAGTGAAATGGCAAGGGAGTTATAAAAAAGGAGGGTTTGGGTCATTTGTGTGTCACTTTACCATGTGTAGTTAAAATGTGTCGAATTTAAAAAGGTAGAACTGTTCTCAACAATTGAATAGCCATCATTCAGTAGCTTCCTCCAAAACACCAGAGTTTAAAGAAACAGTGTAGTAAGCATAGCCAAAGAAACCAAATATTAATATCTGTGATGGATAAAAGAGGAAACCAAGTTAGACATTAAAGACTTCCCTAAAGTGGGAAGCATAATGGGAGGTAAATTATTCTGAACAAGGCAACAGCAGGAAGAAAAAGATAAAGTAGCATCCTTGGGGTTTTCCTGCCTCGCCCTTTCATCAAGGTAGATATGTTACATCTCTGTCATATATTGCAGTCTTCTGAAATCAACAGGTAGCAACATACAGGAAGTCATTGACTTACAACCATTTGTTTAGCAACCGTTCGAAGTTACACTGGCCCTGAGAACAGTGACTCACGACCGGTCCTCGCAATTACAGCCATCACAGCCTCCCTTCAGTCACAGAATCGTGTATTTATGACGCTTGCAGCATCCTTCATTCCTGGGATCCTCATTTGTGACTTTCCCAGCTGTCTTCCCACATGCAAAGCCAATGGAGCAAGCTGGATCCCTTAATGACTGTGTGGTTCACTTAACAAAGTGGGAAAACTGGTTGTAAAACTGAGCACGACTCACTTAACAACTGGCTTGCTGGACAATGGAAATTCTGGTTTCAGTTATGACAGCAAGTCAAGGACTACCAATATTTTCTTCCGGGCGCAAGTTTAGCCCTTACTTCATCAAGAAGGAAAAAGGAAGCAAAATCTTCTCAGCAATTGTCAGTTGCAAAACTCCCCATAACTTTTGTGTAAGATTTTTGTGTAGGCTCAGTGAGCATCCCAGCTGTGGATCAATTTCTGGTTTCTTCGGCTAAAGCCCTAGGACTTCTTTGCCTCCCATTTCATGCAATGGCAAGGAGGGCAGGAAGTATGGAGAATGCCATGTAGCCTTTCCTGTCCTTCCTGAAGGATTTCTGGGCATCATAATTACTCTTTAATACTTCTAGACACTTCATGATGTTTTGTACAGAAGACTTTGCTTAGAAAACAATTTTGCTCAATTAACCCCACCAAAGGGGTCTGGTGCAACTTTGACCTTGAAAGAAGACCACCTTGTCTATTTAATGGCCATCAGCAGATTCTCTTTGCGTTCTTGTTTCGACCCCCTGCAATGATTATATTCCTAATGATTTGAATTAACATTAGGAAGGTGCTTTGCTGGGCTTAGGATGCCATGTTTGCATCTATTTAAGTATTCAGCTTCAGAGCTCAGTGGCATGTTGTTGATATTATCACTTTTCAACAAAACAAATGAACAACAAATACTTTAAGAAAATAGAGAGTCAGCACACTTTGAATTCTGTTCCTAGTCCAAATATGGATGATGTCATGGTCTTATTTTGGTTCATCTCTACAGGAAAAATCAATCCAACCTGTTCAGCGATTGTAGTAAGGATTATTACCAGACGTTTCTTACTAATTATAACCCACAATGCATTCTCAATGCACCCCCGAAGAGAGATATTGTTTCACCTCCAGTTTGTGGAAATGAACTTTTGGAGGCGGGAGAAGAATGTGACTGTGGCTCTCCTGAAGTAAGTCTTTTTTTTTAATCAACAAGAATATGCAAAATTTTCTCAAAAATGGGAATCCTTGAAAAATCATTTGGCTTTCTAAGTGATTTGAGCCATCCAAGGGGTTGGTTTGTGAATGGCATAGGTTTCTGCCCTTTATGTAGTCATGTATGAAGGGGTTACTTGGATTTGGTTAACAAGTTTAGAGGAATGGAGAACTGGTACCTCACTACCATTTGGGGAAGATGGCGTATTTTTTTAAAAAAATGGGTGATTGACAACTCCAAGAAAATCCTTCCCTCCTGAAAACTCCTATTTTGTTGATATGGCCACATTATCTGTCCCACTATTTTCTTGAGCTGCTTTCTCCCATATCTGATGATCTTTAATCTATGCTCTGATCCTAATAATATTTTTTATAAGACCAGTAATTTAGCGTTCTTTTTATATTGTTAAATACACTTGTAATGGTCTGTGAGAATATCCTTGAGAGACAAAAGAAGAAGGAAACGTCTACTCAATGATTATTTAAGAAGTAGATTAGCCTGCAGAAGCAATTGGGCATGGCAAACATCTCAAGAGGAACACCACCCACCCATTCTCTTGGTCCGTAAAGATTAGGTGGTAGAAATGTACTTTTAGTATTGAAAGATTCTGCTACGGTAACCTTACAATCAGGGTAGTGTTAATACTCATGGTTGGTGCTTCTTCTCTGGACTACCTCAAAGGCTGGCATGATGAGTAGAAAATCCCTCATGAATAAGAAAGGAATGGGGTTGTAGGTTATATGGGCTTCACAATTAGGAGATGAGGATATTTTTGTTTTATTCTTTTCACCTAGGAAATATCAGATAAGGCTCTTTCACGTAGATATGCCATTATCGGTTTGCAATAACAAACAATTTGTGCATTTGCTAGCATGGACCCATAATAATAATAATAATAATAATAATAATAATAATAATAATAATAATAATAATAATAATAATAATAA